GATTCCTTCCTCCTCCTCCCCCTCCACCTCTCCTCCTCCCCTTCTGCCTCTCTTGCCCTCTCCTCTTTCTTTCTTTTAGAGACAAGGTCTCACCATGTTGCACAGGCTGGTCTTGAACTCCTGAACTGAAGTAATCCTCCCACCTTGGCCTTCCAAAGTGCTAGGACTAGACTACAAGTATAAGCCTCTGTGCCTGGTCTAGGGGATGCTTTATGCATGAATAATGCAGTGTTTCCTCTGCCCACTCTCTCCCACTGTGGTGCTGTCCTCATCTCCTCGAGGAGGATAGAGACCAAACACACTGTCAGGGGGTTGGGGATCTGGGAGGATAGAAATTTGCTGGTGCAATAACCTGTGGCAAAATTTCAAAAAGTGAGGTGGAACTCTCTCTCTCTTTCTAGCTTTTCATTTTGGGTCTGTTTCCAGCTCTTAGTCATTCTGCTGTGATGCTTGTCAACAAGTCCATCGAGGAAGGCCATGTTGCATGGCAGCCAGATGGACCAGTGCTGGTCTGTGATTGGATGAAACCTTGGGCTCTGAGCCTGACGCCCTGAATTGGGAGCCCACCTCTACATCCTAGGCCATGTGACCTTGTGCCTGGTCCTGTTAGCCTTTTGTACCTTCGTTTTCTTGTCTGTAAAATGGAGACAATACGCTTATGTGATGGGATTCATGGGGATAAAGTGAGTTACTGTAGGTGAAGTCCTTAGAATTCAACGTGAGTCAACCCTGGCACAGAGAGATACTTGAGAGGTGGTTGCTGGTATCACTATCACCCAGCATCACCACCATGTAGACATGCAGGAGAAGTCGTCTCTCTGCCGTCACTTTCTTATGATTCTCCTTCTGTGTACCTTTCTTAGCTGGTCACCCTTCTGCAGATGTCCTGAAATACACGTATGAGGATTTCAAAAAGGGAGCCTCAGATACTTACGTGACATACCTGATCAGAACAGAAGAAAAGGGACGTTCTCAGAGCTTGTCTGAAGTTTTGAAATATGAAATTGATGTTGGGAATGAGTCAACCACGCTTGGCTATTACAATGGGAAGCTGGAACCTCTGGGCTCCTACCGGTAATGTCTTCTGGTTCTTGCTCTCTGGGGGCTGAGCCTCATGAGCATAAAGCTCTCTGTGCCTGTGGTCAGACACGTCTCAGGGACCTCTTTTTGCTCTTTGTCATCCCACAGGGCTTGTGTGGCTGGCTTCACCAACATTACCTTCCACCCTCAAAACCACGGGCTCATCGATGGGGCTGAGAGCTATGTGTCCTTCAGTCGCTACTCAGATGCCGTTTCCTTGCCCCAGGATCCAGGTAGGGAGAAGACAACAGTCGTGGCACCGGGTCAGTGGCATTTTGCTCCACGTGTCCATAGAAGGCCGGCTGTGTGCATGCCTCCCTCAGACCTTCAGGAGGATTGGTGTGCCCAACTCCCCGCTCCCAGAGGTTGAGCTGTCACTGGGTCACCGGGCTCAGTGGGCTTCCTCCTCTGAGGTCCCACAGCCTAGACCCGACACTCTCCCTTCTCTAGGTGCCAGTTGTTCTTCCAACCTGCAAAGATGATTGAGTCCTCATGTGCCAGGTGCACAGTTTGACACAATGCATCGAATCCTTAAATATTAGAATCAGAGGAAGCCACATAAATTGTCTTGTTCAATCCTGTTTATTTTACTTCATAGTTTTAATTCTATTTATTGATTTGTTTATTTTATTTTATGATTTTTTTTTTTTTTTTTTT